GTGCCAAAGACTCACTGCTATTTTCTCACCCGGACATTCAAAAAGTCCAGAAGTGGTGCCATGGCTGAGAGACTAGAGCAGGGGTAGGCAACCTTTCCCCTTTAAGGGCCAAGGGACTTCAGCTCCCAGAAGCCTCAGCCATGTTGGCCAATAGTCCCAGGTTGGCCAATAGCTCCTGGGATTCTGGGAGCTGAAGTCCCTCGGCCCTTAAAGGGGAAAGGTTGCCTACCCCTGGACTAGAGGTTCTTCTTTTAGGTTCTCTCAGGATGGACTAAGCTAGTCTCACCTACTTAGAGAGAAGGGAATTGTTTCCTTTTAAAAATAAGAATTAAGGGACAGTACCAGCATGGCGTAGTGGTTTGAATGTTGGACTACGACTCTGGAGACAAGGGTTCGAATCTCTGCTTGGCCATGAAACCCACTGGGTGACTTTGGGCAAGTCACCGTCTCTCATCCTCAGGGGAAGGCAATGGGAAACTACTCTGAAAAAAATTGCCAAGAAAACCACACAATAGTGTTGCATAAATTGGAAACAACTTGAAGGCACACAACAATAAGAGTACCTACAATGACCCATGGAAAGTTAACAACCCAGGTTTTGGGGATCAGTTTTTTTGACTAAAATTTTGATTCATACATGAACATATACAGTATTTATTATTATTACTTATTTTATTTTTTTATTTCAAGCACTGTTAAGCACTAGGATCCCAATATGCTTGCATACCCTCCACTGATAAAAACCGAGATATGTATCCAAGTCACATCTAAGGTGATCAAGATGACAAAAGTGATTAATGTCAAAGACACAGAAGCTAGGAGAGGCTGCAAAAGTTTGCTTTTATCTGAGCCTACTGGGGAGGGCAACATACTGCTCCCTCTGCTCCATTCCCTTTTGCTGAATTGTCTGCAAACAACTTTTGCTCTTTGAACTTGGTTTGCAGCAACTGAAATAAGCTGAGGACAAAGGGGAGAAGCAGGAGGAGGAGAGAGAAACTGGGACATTTAAAAACCAGCTGGAAAAACAGGATGACAGAGGACTGTCCCAGCCAAATAGGAACAGTTTGACAATATGTGTTTGTTTGCAGACATCCCCACAAAGTATTAACACATCATTTATAGAGAGTGATCAAAGCACTCAAAGAATGTGCTGTAATCCTTACTCCAGCTTCTTCTTGTGTGTTTTCAAGTCATTTCTGACTTATGGCAACCATAAGGCAACCCTATCATGG